ATTTAAAATAACCTTATCTTTTAGAGGTATACAAGACCAAATTTATTCAAATATAATTTACTTATGGCTGAAATGACATGCTACCTGTGATTTGCCAAAAGGCTCAGGACAGGTGAACGAATGTGGAGAGGAAGTAAAGACTGGCCACGGCTGAGAATGGCTGAAGCCAGGTGATGAGTAAAGGGGATTCCTTATACCATTCTACTTTTGTATATGTTTTAGATTTGCCACTAAAAACATTAAAAAATTAACCTGTGGTGTTGTAAGGGCAACCTTTGAAGAGGAGAATGAGGGCTGCAATAAGGGCTTCTGGGGTTGTTAGGAATGAATGTTCTATCCTACACAGGTTTGTTCACTTTGTGATAACTTATCAATTGACGTATTATGATTTGTTCACTTTTCAGTACATATTACACTGCAATAAAAAAAAATGTTCTATTTTGTTTTTAAAGCAAGAAATCCACAGCTCCGACGCAAGGGAAGGCTCTACGGTGGAACTGCAGGTAGTACAGCAATCACTGAGAAAGGGCTTTCTGAATGGAAAGGCAATAGAATACAGTATGGCCTCAAGCGAATGTCAGAATGTGGCATTTCATCTCTGAAGGGGAATAACAGCAGCTGCCTTCACTGGCTGTTGAGCATTAAATGGAATGATGCAGATGAAATGCTTTACACAGAACAGTACACAACTAGTAATTAACAGAGGCTGTCTTTTGATTTTCATCTGAGGACCTGCATTGCATTCATGGCCTGTTTGCCCCCTAGACTGCAGTGCAGGTTCCCTCACTAAATAGAAATCCCGGTGTTAATCAAGATCTCCCTGGTAATAAACTACCTTCATACTTCGAGCTGGGCAGAGTATGAAGAGGGGAGGCATCATAGCTGCATACCTATCTGAGAGAACCCAGAGCGTTTCCTCCACAGTATTCGGAAGATCACTCAAGCCAATGGAAGATGAAAATGAAGATGAAGATACAGATGCAGATTCAGACCCAGACCTCTTCCCTCCCCACCGAGCTCCACTCCACCCAATGCCCTCCAATGAGGACTTGTGGAGTAAAGCTTCATCCTGTCTCTCCTCCCTTCGCCAATCGGCGAGCCCGTACTGATCACCGTGCCCAATCACAGCACTCCACATACTTGAGGGCAGACCCCTACGCACAGGCAAAAGGAGGCAGCGGAAAGGCTGCGGTAAAAGGTCCAGAGCTGACGCTGCGCAGCAGTCTACGAAGAGGCCGCACTGCCACCTACTGCCTGATCTTGTGCAGGCCTCAGCAGCCCTGACCACGCTCCGCCTGGGCGCGCGCTGCCCTCACCTCTCGGGGCCAATATTCCAACCCAAACACTCAATTTTGACTTAGGGAAAACGTAGTAATAGCACGTAGAAGCGAAAGTGTGTTTTAATCACATTCTATTACACAGTAAGGAAAATAATAATCTCAAATAGCCTCTCTTCCTTCCAACCAGTTTGAGTTTTGAAACCTTATTCACCCCTACGTTTTTTAGAGGTAAAATCAAGGGGGTTGGGTTTGTTTTTTCCACCTTTTTCTGGACCGCCTGCTGTATGTCAGGGTATTAGCTGAGGCAGGCATTACCATCACCCCTAATTTATACCAGGAACACAGGGTAAGTGACATAATTTTGGAAAATTGGCAAAGCTGGGGTTCACACCTAGGTGTCGAGCCCCAGGTGAAGACTCTTCACCTCATCACACTGCATCACCAAGTGTTGTGAGAATAGAGGGCAGGGGAAAATTTATTCTGACTGCGTAAGGATTCAGGGTGTACAAAGGGTATTCTAGGCCAGGTAGTATTCAATAATGGTAGCTGGCACTGCTTTTCCAAATATGCTAATCTTAACAGACGAGGAGGTGATTACCCCCATATACTTAATTTGTTGCAGATTATTATGCTCATTCTTCAGCAAACAGTTTTTTGCTTATTCAGGAATCCATGAGAACGTTCCCCTATATTGGTCCCAGAATAAAAGGCAGCAGACTATACACCATCTGAGGTGCCAAATATAATATCATTTACTAATCTTCCCTTCATACCTAGGACAGTGTTAACAATAGCTTATCTGAAATTCTTCATTCTCTTCTCTGTATTTCCATAGTCCTTTTCTTTTAATTTGTATATAACAAGCTTTGCAATATAACTGAGCCCATGTTGGTTTCATCATTACAAAAGTGTTTCCAGTATTAATGGCCCTAGAGGGCATTATAAAATGCACAGGGATTTTTTTTTTTTTGACTGTCAGAATGACAGTGGGGCATTACTGGCACTTAATAGGCAGAAAAAAGAAAAATTAAGTAACCTGCAAGGCCAAGACTGCCCAACACATCACAACACTGTCCTTGCTGGAGCTGGGAGCAGAGTTGGGGAGTCCTTGGGGAGCAAAGCTTTCAGTATGGGAAGGAGACACAACTATGGACTAGGGGAAGGAGAGGAAGAACCTGTGGGGCTGCACTGGAATCAGAGGTTTCAGTATGAACTGTTATTTGTAAGATATACACATGCATGCATATACACATGGATGTGCACATCTATTTGTGTATATATGGACACACATTTTCCCAGCTCTGTCCACTGAATGGGACAAGCAAAAGCCTCACAATGACAAGAGGACATCTAGTACCTAGACCTTGGCTTCTAGTACCATTCCCTACGGAGAGGAAGTAGGACTCCTTGGAGAAGTAGTTAATTTCAGGGCTAGAGTAGGAAAAGAACGAGATAAACCTGGAACTTTGAGAGTTGGCTTGAAAGGGCTCCTACAACCAAATACGGGACAATTTGATCACCCAAATAATTAAGGATGGTAATGAATCATTTTAAAAAAACCCAAAACAAGGGAAATCCACAATCCAGAAGACCATATTGATAATGAACAGATAAATATAGTTCAAAGAAATGGGATAAAAGAGAGGATTCTTGCTTATAGTAAAATATTGAGTACTAACTAGTAAATGTGGATGTATTAACAGAGTTGGAAAACCATCATTTTGCAACTGTCATAATAAAGACTGATTCAGGCAAGATGCCTCAATGGATGCTAAATCTAGGGGGAAGCTTTTAATAAACAGGATAGTTGCATATTGAAACATGTCCCCACAGAATGTCTTAGTCATAAGGAGAAAAATAGTATCTATCTCTCCAGTGGGAAAAACAGACACACTTGACTGGGTGATCAAGGTTAACATCGCCAGTGAAGGCAGATGGGCAACAGGTGTCTCTAGAGGTGCCCGGAGAAGGACAAAATGTCATTGACAATATTCTGACTGGGAAAGCACATCTTGAATCTATTCATGATATCTCAGACAAACCCCAAAAGAATAATATTTTATTAAAAAAGGGTCTGGCTTCTTTAAAAAAAAAAGTCAGATAATACATACTACAGCATTGAGGATAAAAGTCTATACTACATACTATATCAAGCCATGTATGACATGGTAGACGTTCACACTATTAAAAGAATACCTGTTTAGAATTAACAAAACTAACTCAATTTTACACATAAAAATAAAGTACTCTAGGAGGGCAGGATGAATTTTCCATAAATGCAAGTACTAGGTAAACTGAGGAAAGAAGAAAAGAGAGCACTTTGATTCATTCAGAACTTTACCAAGAGTTGTTGACCATTTTGTGAATAAAACTGTGTCACTTATGATAACGTCATGATGATACCAAATTGTACTTGATTTTGCTGGTACACTACATCTGTATTCATCTGCATTTCTACCTGCTGTTCATGGTGATTCTACATCATCAGTGCAAACAAATAGTTACTAATCTTCACACTCTCCACAGTTGTTTTGCCTGGGCCCTGCCCATACACCCACTTCCAGGTCTCACAGACCAACTTTAATGTGCTCCTGCAATCACACAGGGAGAAAATGATGAGTTCTTTGAACACTCCCGCCCCACCCTCCGCCACTCCCAAGGTAGCTGTTATAAGTAGCTATAACAGGATCCTGCTCCTCCGCTTCGGAGTTACTGGAAGAATTGATAAACACAGGAGGACTTTCTTCTTATTTAACATAAGCCCAAAAAAGCTGAGAAAGCAATTTGGGGGAAAATATTACATCAACGCTGGAACTGATCCCAAAATTACATTATTCCCATAAAATGTCACCAATCATCTGACTTTATCACAATGACATTATGTGAATAAAATAATATTAAATAGGGGGGAGGGGGAATAATGGTAGAAAGACAGGGATGGGACAAGTTAAAGAACATGTATGAATGACCCATGGACATGGACAACATTGTGGGAATTGACTGTGAGAGTGGAGGGTGGGATGGGTGGAGCAGAGCAAAGGGGGGGGGAATTGGGCCAACTGTAACAGAATAACAATTTAAAAATCTTGAAAAGACAATATTATATATATGTAGCATGTACATTTCTATAAAATGTTTATAGGGTCAGTGATTTCTTTTAGGCCTTGTTAATTTATAAAAGAATGGCTGCTAACTGTGTAATATAGGGAACAGGGGCCTCTAATTAGGAGCCCCCAGCATGAAAAGTTAGCCAACTGTTTTTCTTAAATGGTTTATATGAGATTCTAGCACTGCTTTCAAACCCACCTATCACCTGGCAATGAAACAGAGGAGAGTCAAAATGCTTTCCAAAGACAAGTTAAGAAATGACAATAAAAAAAGATAAAAGTATAAAGTATATTTTTCTTCACAAATAATGTAAAACAGAAACAGGCTTCAGGGTAACGAACTTGACTACAATAACAATGGGAAAAAAAAGAATTGTTTACAATATTTAGGAAGACTACTCATCAAGGCAAAAAAAAAACCCAATCCCCAACAACAACAAAAACCCCAGAAGGATAGCAAAAATGATTCTGCCATATGTGAAACAAAAGTCTAATTCTTTTTAAGACCCAAAATGTACTTCTCTGAATTGGATTATCATAAGAGCATCATATGAATATGTGACTATATGATACGAACACATGGAGTGACTGAAAATGACACGGAGGCACCTACCGAGGTGACAGTCTTCTTTTCCTCTTGCTTCCCATTTGTGGCTGTCTACATACGCTGCAGAGAGCAGGCATCTTTTGCCTGAGGAAAAGGACAATATCTCAACATTCACGATTTCACAACAGGTTCAGTGTATGTATCCGTTTTATTAAAAATATCATTGTAATATGCTCAGTTTACTACATTATTTAAAGATGCTAACATGATACTGTAACCAACACTGCACAGTTAACAATTTGGTTCCTGACAAGACGCATTCGTCCTCTAAGAAGCAGGTGAGGAAAACTGGAAATTTGGCTGAACTGTTGCTTAACTCATTAATCGAATGTTTCATAGTCATTAGTTGGTTCTCAAAACATTTCTGACTTAGATCAGCATGTTTACCCATATTTCACATAAAGTGAACAGCAATATCTTACCCAGTACACCAGCACCAGAGGGGTAAATAGGAGAAACCCAATGTGCCAAATTTGAGGTCTCACAAGATGGCACAGCTGCTTTACCAGCCCCTGGCACAATGACTGGCATATGACAGTGATCAACAAACATAGGTTCAAAGAATGAATGAGAAAGAATAAATGGCCACTTCATCAAAATTAAAAACTTTTGTGCTTCAAAGGGCACTATCCAAAAAGTGAAAGGAAAACTCACAGAATGAGAGAAAACATTTGCCAATCATATATCTGATAAGGGACTTGTACTCTAAACGTATACAAAACTCTTCCTACTCAAACTGTATCATTTTTATAAAGATTTTATTTAGTTATTTTTAGAAAGAGGGTAAGGGAAAGAAAAAGAGAGGGAGAGAAACATCAATGTGTGGTTGACACTTGTGCACCCCCAACTGGGGACCTGGCCCGAAACCCAGGCACATGCCTGCACTGGGAATCGAACCAGCAACTCTTTGGTCCACAGGCCAGCACTCAATCCAGTGAGCCACACCAACCAGGGCTCTTTCTACTCAAAATTAAAAAAAAACAAATAATCCAAATTAAAATGGACAAAGGATTTGAGCAACAGTTTCTCAAAAAACAAAAGGATGTACACACACAAGCATGTATACATACACACCAGCAAGTGCATAGAAAGATGATTAGTATCATTTGCTATTAGGGAAATGCCAAATACATTGAAATGCTACTTCATACCCACTAGGATGACTATAATCAAATAATAACAGCCATTGATAAACTGGAACCTTCATACATTTCAGGTGAAAATGTAAAACATCACAGCCCCTTTGGAAAGTTTGGCAGGTCCTTAAAATATAAACATGAAGTTGCATACAACCCAGCGATTCCAAAGGGAAGCAGTGTGACTGTGGACTCCAATGGACTTTAGAGTCGCAAAATCCAAGTCTGAATCCTAGCCTTGCTGATAAATGCTATGAAAATGTGGGCAAGTTACACCAGGTCTTGGGCCTCTTTCTCCACATGTAAAATGAGGAAATAATGCCTACCTTGTACCATAATCTAAATGAATGTGCAAGCAGTATTAAGTGCTTAGCCTAACATCCCCTGTGTAGTAGGTTCCCAATTAAGTTTCCTTCCTCTAGCCTCTTCATATCGTTAGGTCATTTTTTGGTTCATCTCAATAAATTTTCCTTTTGTTCTGATGTAATTACGGAGAATCACTAGAAGCACCAAAGTATTTCAAATATTGATTTGTCCTGAGTTTGTACAAAGTAGACTATTTTTCCTTTCTTGTCTTGTAATGTTTCAAGATGCTTAGATGACTTAAAGTCAAGCTTATTATCAGCATTTTCAAATCCCGAGTGGTCCATAATGCATTATCCTACTTATTTATATTATTCCCCTTACAGACTTCATTTCCTAATTGCAAGACTCTTTTCATCTATGGTCTAGCCCAGTGCTTGTTTAATATACCTATCTATTGATACAATGATGGAAATGTTCAATTCTGAGCTGTCCAACAAAGTAGCAACTAGTCCCAGGTGTCTACTGAGCACTTAAAATGTAGATAGTATGACTAAGAAACTGAACTTTAAATTTCATTGAATTTTCACTACTTTAAATAGTCATATGCAGCTACTAGCTACTACAATATTATAGCACAGGTGTATAAACTACCACGAGTTGACCAGTTCAAACTAAGACCAAAATGCTAACTGGAAATTCTCTCAATTCATTCTTACCTAATCTCCATTCCCTTGTTAGAATGATTGTCCCTAACATTCTAAGCAACCACAATATCCTCCCTAATAGACAATCTAAGGTCTTGTTTAAATTGAAACATTTACCAACAACCATAAGTAAACATGCTTATAAATAGCTACAACAGCTAATTCTTACTGAGGTGCCTGGTACCGTGCATATCACTTTACCTAACATGTGGCATTAAGTCTTTTCACCAGCTAGGTCAATCAGTTAATCCTCAGAAAACTTTTGGTGGCCAAGTCTGTGATTTCATTTGATGTTTAACAGCTGTTCCTAAAAAAGTGTCAGCAAAAGTGTATGTGTTGCTTTTTTATAAGGGCTAGAGGAAGTATGTTGGAAAGAGGAGATAAGCACTGGAAACATCAACTGTGATTATTGCATTTTAATCAAACAATCATACACTTGTCAGGATTCAGCTTCTGGAAATATAAAAACTTTTTTTTTCTAATGTCTTTATCAGCAGATCACTAAACAGGTTTGAGCAGGCTGTCATTCACTGAGATAATCAAAGTACTTTTAGGAGTAACTATTAGCATTCCTTGTCTATAGGCAGAGAACCGTAGCAAAGGAAAGTCAAAGATTGTGTCCAAGGTCATCAGGTACAATGAGATTAATACACTGAAAAATTCTTCCACCAAGTGAAGACAAGGGGTTCTGGCCAGCTGTTAGGTGGGGAGAAGAACGCTTACGATGTCCCTCCAAAGAAGCCTCACGAGGGAGAAAATTTTCATAGCCCCAGAGGTGGACACATTCGAGCTTTTCAGAGCCGGCAAAAGACAACCACCCTGACACAAATCACACGCAGAAACACCCACGCCTGGACTTTCTCTGTTCTTTATACCTTTGGATGGGCAGACACTATTACTTTACAAAAGGAGATGGATCAGAGATATTATCTCCCCTTACTGTGTTATCAAACACCCCAACTGTTTTCTCTAGCAACTAGATCCCAGAAGCATCTCCTCTCCTTTTGAAGGCTCATCACCCCCTTCACTCAAGGGACAGAGTTCTCAGGGATCTAATGAAGCAGCTCCACGAAGGCAGCAGCCAGCCACCAACCTGCCAGGGACAGGCAAGGCAGAGGCACTTTCCCCGCCAGCAGGATCCCGCGCCGCACCATGGAGGCCGCCATCTTGGAGCATACCAAGGAGAACGCCGGTCCAGGGGGGATACGGGGAGAGGAAGAGGTGGTTCCAGTCGGGCTGGCTCTCCGCGCCCCCGGCTCCGCAGTTGGTGCGGCCCGGGACGGAATGGCTGCTGCGTTTCGGCCACCGAAGCTAGCCTTGCCACAGGCGCTGCGGTCTTTGGTGTATCCTAGGGTGGGAGGTTCAGGCTCCAGCTGCTGCCGCTGCCCTCTCGGAGGTATCCGCGGCCTCGGGCCGGGAAGGAGGGAGGGATGAGAAAGAAGGGACCTCTATCCCTTAGCGGGCATCACTTTGAAGCAATAACTGTGCCGCGGTACTTACTAGTCTGGGGCAGCCGAGCGTGTCTTGGCCCTCTGGCTGCGCGTGGGTGCAGTGGTGGCCCCTGGGTGCCGTGGACAGCTACGTGCCTGAGAACCAAAGAAGCCGGGCTCAGGTCTTGACCTTGGAGCTGTAGTATTCCCTTGGATAGGGCAACGTTGCTCTCCAAAAACACCCCTTCCCGCTTTGGTTGTAGTGTCCCGCAGTTTGGGAGCCGCGACCCACCTCTGCAACTAACAATCTGGAAGACCTTGAACGGATTTCTTCATTTGTAAAATTATAACTTAATAATTAATAACTAACTTTAATAACTTTAAAACTTAATAACTTTATGAAGATGATTGAAGTTCAAAATCCCGATGAGTGATGATAAAATACGTAACAGGCATTATTCTAATGCATTTGTATCAGGCATTATTCTAATGCATTTTGCACACATCCTTTTTCTCGTGTCTTGACGGAGTACTATTCTTTTCTCTGTTTACAGAGGCGGGAACAGCAAATCAGACCTCATTTCCCTAAGGTCAGAGGGAAGTGATAGGGAAGAGATTTGAACACAGGCAGCCTTCCCATAGAGTCCCACTGTAACTCCTCTGGACTGGCTTTCCACATAGAAATTTTTATTGTTACCTTGTCATTGCAATACCCAGAGCACTTTTAGTGAATGGTGCTTTGGCCAAGCTCCACCCCGTGCACAGCCCAGCAACCTAAAGAAATGATGATGTCCCCCAACCCATCTTTACTAAGTTGTGATCAGTGATTTCTGATATTCTTGAGGATACTGCTAAGCCAAATCTGAGATGCAATGCTCCTCATTTCACAAGTGACAGAACTGGAAATTCCAATGATCACCCTCTAACTTTTTCCACTACTCTATGTGCTTCTACCTACATATACCAAAACTAGATATTCTTATTCTACATAAACAATAGCATTTAGTTTTTTAAAAAATTCCCTTATTATCTCTTAATCAGTTAGTGAATGGCAATATGTCTTTCAGATCCCAGGTTCCTGCCAACCCATCCCCACACACAATCACTAGCTTCATTTACACACACAAACATTACTTGCCTTGCTGAGGATTTGCATTTTCTGGTAGTTCGGAGACTTGTTTCTAACTAGGGTGACTGGTATATTTGTACCCATCTAGATGGAGTATTTGTACCAAATGAAAATAAATAAGATCAGTTATGAGAGGCAGTCAAGCTCCACTCTAGTCAAAATGATTTTATTTTTCTTTCTCTAATTTTTAGCTAAAAGATACCTACTTACAGATAATATTGTGAAATTAAGAGAATTTCAGCAGAAGAAGGTGGCTATTGCACACAATCTTCCTGGCACCAAAGGTAATTGAATCCATTTTGTTCATCTGTTCCTTGTTCTGTCATTTAAGTTTCCTTTGTCTATCCCTATTCAGTCTCTTTTTCAGTGAGCCGATGTCTCAGGAAAAGTTGAGATGATTTATTTTTAATTTCCTAGTCTACTCTTAAATGCACCTTTCATCTCATTCTTCACCTGCAGGGCCTACAATTTTCCTCTTATCCCTTCACCCAGGATCCCAGAGAAGTACTACAACCAGTCCTCTCCTGATCCATGCCACTCTAAGGTTCAAGGGTCAGCAGCAACCAGGTGGTTGATAGAAATACTAAACCTCGGGCCCCATACAATTCTTACCCACAGTAAAGTCTGAGAAGAACTGCTCCAGACAACTGGCATTCAAACTTTTCAATGCAACCCTTAATTAAAAATTACATTTTATTTTAAATCTTCACTGTACACATACATATCTGCACATAAGTGAAATGAAATGAAACAAAACAGTGCTGTGTATGGTGATGTATTTTCATATTTTCTACCCTGTGCTGGAAAAGTCAATAGGCTAAAACAAAGATGTCTTTTAAAAATTAGCAAAATATTGACAATTGTTGAGACTGGATGTTGGGGGCAGGGGTTCCAGTATACTGTTCTCTCTACTTTCAGGTATGTTTGAAATTTTTTATTATAAAAAGCGAAAATTACAACAACACTTTGTAGGTCCTGTTCCCTTTCAGCATCTGGGAGATTTTGTTGTATTCATTCTCTTTCTCCTGCACGTTGAGTTTTTCCCAGTCCTTCAAATTTTTTTATAAGCACAGCAAGACTCTCCTCTTTTTTTAATAACTCTTTTATGTGCCTTTATTGACTTTTTCAGCTCTCCTTCTTCTGTTATCAAGTGTTTATGAACACCTAATTAACACTTCTTGCTTCTCTTCACTCAGGGTCCAGCCCTCCAGAAATGTCTTCCCTCACTGCTCTGCTAATCACATTGTTGAATAATCTCACCTACAGAACAAGAAAATAAGCCTTAAGTGTGGGGGAGAGAATATATTAATCTCCAGTTTAGTAGACTCAATCTAGATTTTACTTCAGTCTTTTCCTTTTACTCAAGGTCTTTTGGAGTTATGTGGAGTTGCAAAATGAGGGCTCCATATCATTTTCTAGTTGTTCTTTCCAATTGTCGTAGTCTTTCTAAGGCTGTGACATTTGTACATATGTTCTGAAAGACAGCTAATGAGTGCCAGTGTCCCGCATTGCTAAATTTGGTATTTATAAAATCCTGTCCACATTTCATCCTTGTAAAAGCCTACAATGGTACTGCCTTCTGTATGACATCATACAAACTCACCCCCTGCCTTCCTGGCTCTTCCATAATGGACCTCACCTTTTCTGAAATCCAGTGTGATTTCCTGTTCATCTAGTCACAGTTCTGTCCTCACCACCTCCCGCTTCTGCAAATTCTGTGCTGTTATTCATGCTGGTACCTAGAATGCCCCCCAGTTTGCAGTTTATCCAACTCCATCCAGCCCCTTCCTTCCTGTCTGGTATCTTTCCCCTCCTGCCAGGCCTGGTCTGTTCCTGCCACTCTGAATTTTCCCTTCTCTAATACTATGTTTATAGTCAGTCACGTGCCATCTACTCCATCAATGTTTTCCAATAGCTTTCTATAAATATCTTTTCTTCTTAAATAGACTTTATGCTCTTTCAGAACAGGAACCGTACCTCCGAGTATGAATATGTGATAAGCACTTAACATCTTCATAGATTAGTTTTAAAATACAAATTACATCTGTTGAAATTTTGGGTTCTTAAGGTTTATTAAGAAGGATGAAGTTGTAAAGTCATCCCATTGAAATCTTTTATATTGGAAATTGTTTTGAAATATTTAATAGAACAAATCCTCTTAAACCTAAGAGGTGTTAGAAGGAATGAAAATAAGAACAACAGTATCTGTGATTAACTGGCAGTTGCTCTCTGCCAGGCTCTGTGCTACATGCGTTATGTACATTAGTCATCTCAGGATGCGCTCTGGAGGGAGGTGTCATGAGCCTCACTTTACACATGAGAAATCTGGCCTCACAGAGAAGGGCCTCCCCATAGCACGCAAGTGGCAGAGCCTAGATTTTATCCCAGTTCCTTCGCTTTCTGAAACCTTTAACCATTAAATTATGTGGTTCTGCAAGTAAAGATTGGAGGGTCTACTACAGTATCTTGAGTAGGCCTTTTCTTATAAATCCAGGGCAGTGTCTGCCTCAGCTTCCAGATCATGCATTTTAAATGTATGTTGTACCACCCCTCTGTGCAGCGTTCCTTTAAAGCTCTGGGCCTCAGAGCAAATCCTGTAGACTTTTCTTGGCTGTTCTGTTCTTGAGAACAGCCGTGCCTTCTGGAAAGCAGGTGCTTGCTTAGTGCCTGCCTTGCATCTCAGCCCACATTTTTTCAGGAATGCAGTCCCTTCCTAATGCTAAGAAGCTATAGTATGTTTCTTTCTTTTTTAAAAATATGTTTTATTGGTTATGCCATTACAGTTGTCCTATTTCCCCCTTCATTCTCCTCCACCCTGCACACCCCCTCCCCCGTCATTCCCCTCCTTTAGTTTATGACCACGTGTCTCAAGTTCTTTAGATCCTATATTTCCTCTACTATTCTTGCCCTCCCCCCTATTTTCTATCTACTGTCTATGCTCCTTATTTTCTGTACCTTCTCCCCCCTTTGCCTCCTCCCACTCCCCTGTTGCTAACCCTCCATGTGATCTTCATTTCTATGATTCTGCTCCTGATCTAGCTGTCCTCTTAGTTTGCTTTTGTTTTAGGTGTGGTTCTTTTTTTTTTTTTTTTAAGCACAGGTTCTAAATGCTGATGTCTGTGGCTCACTGTTTTCAAAGCAACTCTTTTTTTTTTTTTTTAAGATTTTATTTATTTATCTTTAGAGGGGAAGGGAAGGAGAGAGAGAGAGAAATATCAATGTATGGTTGCCTCTCATGCGTCCCCTGCTGGAACTGACCTGCAACCCAGGCATGTGCCCTGACTGGGAATCGAACCGCGATACTCTGGTTCGCAGGACCACACTCAATCCACTAAGCTACACCAGCCAGGAGGTGTGGTTCTTAATAACTGTGAGATTGCTGTCCTTTCACTGTTCATCTTTTTTATCTTCTTTTTCTTAAGTAAGTCCTTTTAACATTTCATATAATAAGGGCTTGGTGATGATGAACTCCTTGAATTTGATCTTATCTGAGAAGCACTTTATCTGCCCTTCTATTCTAAATGAAAGCTTTTCTGAATAGAGCAATCTTGGATGTAGGTCTTTGGATTTCCTGACTTGAAATACTTCTTTCCCGCCCCTTCTTGCCTGTAAGGTCTCTTTTGAGAAATCAGCTGACAGTCTGATGGAAACTCCTTTGTAGATGACTGTCCCCTTATCTCTTGCTGCTTCTAGGATTCTCTGCTTCATTTGCATCTTGGCTAATGTAATTATGATGTGCCTTGGTGTGTTCCTTCTTGGGTCCAACTTCTTTGGGACTCTCTGAGCTTCCTGGATTTCCTGGAAGTCTTATTTCCTTTGCCAGATTGGGGAAGTTCTCCTTTATAATTTGTTCAAGTAAGTTTTCCACTGGTGGCTGTTCTTCTTCCCCTTCTGGTACCCCTATAATTCAGATGTTGGAGCATTTAAAGATGTCCTGGAGGTTCCTAAGCCTCTCCTCATTTTTTTGAATTCTTGTTTCTTCATTCTTTTCTGTTTTGTCATTTTTTCCTTCCTTCTGGTCCACTCCTTTGATTTGAGTCCCAGTTTCCTTTCCATCACTATTGGTTTCCTGTGCATTTCCCTTCATTTCAATTAGTTTAGCCTTCATATGTTCCTCTAATTTGTGACTAAAGTCAACCAGTTCTGTGAGCATCCTGATCACCAGTGTTTTGAACTGTGCATCTGAAAGGTTGGCTATCTCTTGGTTGCTTAGATTTATTGTCTCTGGGGGTCTGAGTTGTTCTTCAGCCATATTTTGATCTGTTTGTGCCTGTTACATATGAGGAGCAGAGCCTTAGTTGTTCCTAGAAGCTATAGTATGTTTCTTTTTCATGTTTGTCCCCACAGTTGATCAGACGTAAGATAGGTGACAGAAATAGAGTATGATCACCTTGAAAAGAGTGACAGGTTGTTGGTTTTTTAAAATTTATTTGTGAGAGAGATAGTGGAAGGGAAAGAGAAAAACATAAATTTGTTGTTCCTCTTATTTATGCATTCATTAGTTGATTGTTATGTGCCCTGCCTGGAGATTGAACTCGCACCCTTGGCATATTGGGGATGACGCTCTAACCAGCTGAGCTACCCAGCCAAGGCAGAGTGACTGTTTTTTATTTATCCCCTATGCATTATATAGTCTGGTGCCATACTCTCCAACAACAGTAGAGAGAGACCAAGAAGAATGAAGGAGAGGTAAAGCTGGACCAAATGAAAGAGACATAAACTATTTGAGTCATGTGAGTCAGCCACTGTGGGCAAACCCATCTTCAGTTCCCATTTTCCTTTCGGTTTTAGTGCTAGGTGCCCAGCTAGTTGATGGTTTGGATATCTCGGTTACATCTTCTTTCTTTTTTCCCCTCCCCAGTCACCTGTAATACAGTTCTTTGGGCTAAGCCTCTGGGAGATTCTCCAACTTTCGAGTGCATGAAGATTACCCAGGTAGTCAAAAATACATATTCTTTTGCTCCTGTCCTCAGAGACTCTGCATGAGAAAGTCTTGACTGGGGCCTGGGCTGGTCCCCCATGACACAGATGCTTTGTGTCATGCATCTCCAACTCTGTGCCCGAGTGGGCCAGCCCGTGAAGGGAGCTGAGTGGCCAGGAGCCTCTCCAGTGCCCCTTTGCCACGGGCCAGGTTCGGGCTTCCCCTGCTCCCTCAGGTCAGATTCTGACAGCCCCAGTCAGCCTAGTGATGGCCGCCCCACTGTGTTTTCTTGCAGAAACCTATCTGAGACACTTGGAAGAGAAATTGACGCAGAATAAGCTCATCTTGAAGGAGGAGTTGAGAACCTTACTTCATTTGTGTGAGTCCCGGGATGATGTGGAACTGGCTAAAAATGTCATCTACAGGTGAGGCATTTGGCCAGCCTTTGTCCCTTCTCACTCTGTTCTGTTTCCTGAGCAATCTTATCTGCTTCCACGGTTTCAGCTGTCGGCTGTACACTGATGACTGCCAAGCCTTTTGTCCAGATGTCTGCCCTGAGCTCTAGACATTGATCTTCATTCTTTTAGCAAACATGTGTTGGGGTCCCACTGCATGCCAGGTGCCAGGGATGGAAACACAGATAATCTATTCCCCAAGAACTCACCAGCTATTCAGTAACTCCACTTACACGTCCCCTGGGTCTTCACATTGACCTTACACAAATTTCTTTCTCTTGCTGTGTTTTCTGTTGCTTTGGCCATTCGCTCAGTACAGACACCAGGCAGCCCCTTTCCTCTAATCTCATTCTCTTCCCTACCTGGTAGGATAAGACTGCTTCCACTTCCCTGGCATCTCTCATCTCTCGCCTTCCTTTCTCTGCCCCTGTTCCCAATGTCTTAGTTCAGGCCTCAGCATCTGTTGCTTGGATCACCGCAAGGGATTCTTAACTTGTCTCCCTCCTCCAGGTTTAAGCCTGTCGTGTTCCATTGTGTTGGATCCATTGTCAGGGTTTTCCGTGTCAGAAGGAACTCGCACAATGTCATAATCTGCTTTTAGGAGAGGTTTCGCTTCCTTGGGAGAAAATCAATGGGCTTCATTTTGGAAATTAACTTCATTGCTTCTTTTCACCATCCTTTAAAGGTATATTTCTCTACATGGACCTGCATTTATATTATATATTTATAGTGAAATACAAGGTATTCATATATAGAATACTGGAAGAATGTATGTCAAAAGTTAACTGTGGTTCTCTGGGAATTACACATTCTATATTTTTTGTTTGTCTAAATGTGTACTTTTCTGATTTTTTCAATTTGTCTATAGTGGACATTAATAATTTTATAATATGAAAAATTTATGTTATTTTTTAAAAAGGAAAAGAAAAAACAGTTACAGAAAATTCATTGAAAATTGGAAAAACACCAAAAAAATAGAAAGAACAAACATTGCAAGTTATGCTATTTCAGATGTCTGTCGTTGCGTAACAAACTATACTAAAACTCACATGCTCAAAACAACCATTACTTATTATTTCTCACAATTCTGTGGGTCAGGAATGAAGGCCTGTCTCAGCTGGGCGGTTTTTTCTTGGCGTTGACGAACGTCACTTGTTCATCTACAGGTCACTGGGCTGAGCCGGAAGGTCCAAGAAGACGTCACCTGCATTTCTGTTGCCTCAGTGCCCCTCCACGTGGCCCTCTCTCTCCTTGCAGTAGCTCACCATTCACGAGTCTAGCCTAAGCTGCACTAGCCCACAGCACCAGTGGAAGCTGCAGGCCTTGTGGAGCTGCCCAAAATTGGCACAGCTTTACTTCTGATGCATTCTCGTGGTCAAGGCTGGTGACCCTGCCAGCCCAGATTCACGGCGAGGGGGAAGGCTCGCACTCTGGGTGGTTGGAGTGGCGTGCACACACAGGGAGGGGAGGACTTGATGGTGGCCACCTTCGGGGCCTATCTGCCGCTTCTAAGAAACCAATGTTAATATTTTGATACGCTGTTTACCCTGACAAGGGTTAGGGGTGCCAAAAATTCTCACGTAACTTAATTTATAAGTTAATATCACAGATTATAAATTAGCATTGCAGATTCCCAACTGCAGATTGAATATACATCCTTATCATTTTCATGTAAAGATTTTATGATTTGATAGAGTTTATCTTTACATAGTTATAATTATTACTGTATATATTGTATAATATTTTCTTATTTTCTAACTAGTAGTATAGAAAAATGTTTTTGCTTATTAATCATACACTTAGGAATTATATTTTAATGCACATTTTTAAAAGATTTTATTTATTTATTTTTAGAGAGGAAGGGAGGGAGAAAGAGAGGGAGAGAAACATCAGTGTGTGGTTGCCTCTAGTATACCCCTTACTGGGAACCTGGCCTGCAACCCAGACATGTGCCCTGACCAGGAATTGAACTGGTGACACTTTGGTCCTCAGGCCTGTGCTCGATCCACTAAGCCACACCAGCCAGAGCTAATGAACATTTAAGTGTGCCCCTGTTGTTGAGTGGCTAAATGATTTCTAACTTTTCACAAATATACATAATACTGTGATGAGCAACTCTATGCATAAAACTTATTCTTTATTTCTTTTTTGGGTTCAGAGGGTATGAACCTTTTGAAACTTGTCAATATAAACTGCCAGATTATCTTCCAAAAGAATTATACGGATTTACAAGTCATACTGTATTAGCAAACCTAGTTCTGTTATTTCAGTTTCATGAAGTTGAATCATTTAAGACCCTCTGGCCTGCTTTATTACTCAATGCTATCAGATGTATAAAGGGGTTATAAAACAGGATAAAATTTTGAACAGTCCTTCACTATTTTTCCCATAAATGTTCCAAGTGTGACTCATCATTCTTTTCTATGCTAATAACTCTCTGCTCACTTGCTGTCCTCTCTGCTTGCGGACAGCTGGACAGCTGGGCAGGCCAGGGTGCGACCAGCCTGTTCCCTCTCTTCTTGAGACAGGTGGCCCATGGCTGGGGAAGGAGAGTAGTGAGCTGAAATAGTCTTTATTGAGCCAAAAATGAGGAGTAACTGAATCCCATCCTGACCTTGACCACATTGATTAACAGAGATTTAGACCCTCCAACTGGAATGTTTCCTATCAAGAAGGTGATTGTTATTTCTGTGGCTTTCTAGGACTTTTAATTAGTGTGAATGTTATTTAAATTGAAAAATCTTTTGCTTTGTTTTGTTTTTAGTCTGGCATAAGTTTCTCATGAGTCAAGTTACTGAAATGTATTGATTTTTGAAGATGCTATCCTCAGCATTCTTACGTTTTGTAAGCACTAACGTATGTGGAAAACTAGCTGTGTACCAGGGATGTCCTCATTCAATCCTCACAAAGACTCTGAGTTCTCTTTCCTCCCTCCGTTCACAAATAAGGAAACCGCAGCTTGCAGTGGTTACCGGTAATTAGTTTGCTCTTGGTTGGGTCGAGAATTGAGACCCAAAGTTTTGTTTGACAACTGAGACATTCTTCTGTGAACGACTTGGTTCTGGCAAAGAACCAACATGTTTGAGAACCGAGATGTTTGAGAAATGGTGAAATATATTGAGAAATATATTTAAGAGGTAACAACATGATGTTTTGATATAATAACAATTCATAACAGTTGTCATGAAGCTGTGAATATTTTTTGTAGCTTCTATCATTGGGATTTGAAATGTATCTTTAAAAGTAGGCATCTCCATTCTAGTTGGCAGCGCATATGTTTAGGGTGGACTCTGTTCATTACGCTGCTGTGTTTTCCTCAGTGACTTCAGCAGGTTAAAAAGTTTTTTAATTCTGTTTTTTAAAGTTAGAACTTGTCCCCGTAGTATTTGGAATTTATTCACATAGAGAATAAGTCTTTCTAAAGCTTCATTTACATGTAATCATGAAGTACTTGTTTTGTTACCAGATTGTCTTCTTAGGGTCTAAAGCGCAGAGAGTTGGTTATTGAAAGTAAAATGATGCTAGCAATTTGCAGTTTTGCAGTTCTAACTGACAGACTGGCCTCTGAAAGAAATCTCAAGCCACAAATAAGATGTCACTGTCTTTGAAATTTGCCTTTTCCTAAAACTAAAATTTCAAACCAGCATTTAACTTCTTTAGCTAAGTGATTGTAGTCACATATGCCTTTCCAAGATGAGGAAAACAGAGCGGTTTGTATAAATTGTAAAACACACTCTTGGTTATCTGCCACCCTAGGTGTAGATGAAGCCAGCCATGATGGGGACGGAGCATCACCCCACCCCTTTTCTTTGCTCCTCTCTAGGTGGGGCCCAGCATTCTAGAATGCAGTACAGAGACAGTGCAATCAAGTGTACAGACAGTGTACAGACTTACAATGCAAGACCTCTGCTGTTCCCTGACATAGAGTGTGCTCATATTCAGTCAGTACTAATTGGATCTCGGTAAATTGAGATGATTATAATGTATACTTTCCTCTCTTTGATTTCGAAGGATGAGAGGGCCTCCAGCAAGCCTCCTCTGTTTATTTGCTTATTTAAATACCTGGTGTATTTCAGCACTCCAGGGTTCCTATGATTACCTTCAGTTCTACAAGCTTCCCCTCCAAACTGTGAGAGTACCCGACTCTACTGCATCCTCAGCACCTGGTAGAGTGCATGCCACGGTCTGTCTGCCCTTTCACTGTGTCCCACTATTTGGCTCACTGGCTCACTGGCTCACTTTGATTACCAGGTACCATGCAGAGAACAGAATTGCCACTTTGGGGGAGTTCAAGTTTGGACCACTCTTCATGAGGCTGTGCTACGAGTTGGATCTTGAGGGGTCTGCAGTGGAGCTCATCAGAGACCAGGTGATTGTATTCTAATGGCCCTCCCTGCCAACCTGAGCTGAGGGGAAGGTGTTTTTATGATGTGAGGAGAGGCATCTCCCTGTGCCCATCTTGTCAGAGAAAGGCTGCTGGGCTGCATGGAAGAGCTCTTTGCATTTTTAAGGTTTCCTGGGAGCCAGTTCCCATGAAGAATGTCTTTATACAGAGGTATAGACCAGGTGTGGAAGAGGGGCAGGTACAGACTACAAGGTACCTTCCTGCCTTGCTATGTGTCCCCCTGGGACTGACATCCTCGCTTTTGAGGAGTTTGTACGGGGACGGTGTGAGGCAGGCACTGTTTCAAGCCTGCCCTTCCTGTGCTTTTCTCCTGTTTTTGTGTTTTTACTTCTGGTCGAAGGCTACATTGTAAAGCGCTTTTTAATTTTCAAAATGCTTTCACATATTTGAATGTCCTTTTCCTAAAAACAGCAATAGCAATAATTATTTTTCAATTAGTTATTGAATATTTAACTGTGTCCTCAGCTTAAGTACTTTATATGTTCCATTTCATTTGTTTCTCACCATGGCCCCAGTGAGCCAGATACTATTATTATTTCCATTTCACAGATGAGGAAGCTAGGACTCTGAGAGATCATACATTTATCCATGGTCAGAAACATTGGTTAAATTTGGGGGTTGGGGCTGGCCACCTGGGACACTTTAGAATTTGGGGGGACTGCCATCACTGAGTTGTCCTCCTGCCTCTTACTGTTTCTCGTATAAAGGCACCGTCCACGGGGAGCTGTTGGCTCTCGGCTCGCCCCCCTTTAAAGAAGCCTGTGCATTAGAAAGACAGCGCAGTGTTATTAGCGAGCAGAGGAAAGGTGGTTTCAGAACAGTGTGGGTTAGTTTGAGCCTGTTTTTTCCTAAAAGAAAAGATACACATACATATTTACTATTCAGTATATATGTATTAAAAATCTGAAAGGATAGACACTGTGTACCTTTAGGGAATAAAATTATAGGAAATTCTCTTTCGTTTACATATTTTTGTATTGTTTGACTATTTTACAATAAGCGTGTGTTAATGTTATAGTTAAAAGAAAATTAAAGTTTTGCTATAGTAAATCACATCCGTGAGTATAATGTTAAAACAACAAACAGAAAATGATGTAAGACCATTTTTTTAAGTTTTAATGAATTATTATTCACTAAGTAATAATAATTATTAAAGTGAATTATTTGGAAAAGTGCATAATCAACTTTGTATTACTTGTTTGCTAAAAGAAGGTCACAGTTGCCTCAGACTTTCTGCCTTAGTCTACAATTATTCTTCCAGCTGCCTTTCCCAGGTAATGTGCTGCACCCCGGTCCCAGGACCACCCCACCGGGGGTAACCGGTTTGTTTCTGTTCTCTCAAGCATAGCGGAAGCCCATTTCATGATGTTTTTCACTGCATTTCTGAAACCGAGATCTCCTACTATGCCTCTTGCCTCTTGTTCAGTGTATGCATTGCCAAAGGCATAACACCCAAGGGAGTAGGCGGTATTTTAATTTTTTTGAAAAAGAAATCCTTGGTTTGTCCGAGACATATTAGAGAACTCAGGAGGCCAAATGAATAAGATGCACACAAAAATAAGTCCTGGACCCATAAGATGCAGTAGAAGAACAATAATCCCTTAAGAGTTTTAATTTTAACCAAACTGTATTGTTTTTCTTTATTAGCATTTACGAGGTTTCTTCTCAGATTCTACATCATTTAATATTTTGATGGATATGTTATTCATCAAAGGGAAATATAAAAGTAAGTATTGCAATTTATGTTAGCTGAAAAATTCTGCTCTCTTTGCTGGCATAGCAGTTAGGAAACACAGCGGGCCAGGCAGAAATGATCCGTCTACCCCTGGTGAGCACCTGACTCAGGGAGACCTGCTGCTTGCAGTGTGAAATGTGCCCCAAAGTGAACACCTTAGATTTTACTTATGCTGAAGTTATAACAGCTTTCTAAATACTAGTTCTTCCTGTATGACCTGATCGTTAATTTTGAAATTTAGTTCATTGCTAAATGACTTTGACAAATAGCTTTTACTGTGCTGAATACACTTGTTAGTGGCTGGTGCTGATTAGAACTCTGGGGATGAGCAGTAGAGGGCTCTGAATTCACTCGCCGGCATTCAACACTGTTGGCCTGCTCCTGACTTTTGGCAGGTGCGTTGGAAGTGTTGATTGAGATGAAAAACCAAGATGTGAAGTTCAGCAAAGATACCTATGTCCTTGCTTTTGCAATTTGCTACAAACTGGTAAGACTATCTCCTATTAATCTTGTGAGCATTGTGGATAGTATTTGAAAGAGGATTTTTTTTCTCTGCAATATAATTCAGTTCCTCAGAAGTCTGTTTTCCATCTGGTGCAGATACGTCCATTGTAAATGTCTTCATTTTTAGAAAACTCAAGTTAGCCATGTCAGACAGTTTTATCATGAAAAAAGCAAGTTTATCATCTGTCATCCTTCCCTGGCAATTGTATACATAGTGAGAACAAGAAACAGTGTGCTGGGTTCAAACTGCTTTCGAGTGGTCTTGCTAGCAGGCTCCTGCTGGACTCCACTGGGTCAGTCTGCTCTGTGGGCCTATCCTGTGGAGACCGTACCTCCCTCATTGGCAAACTCCAGGGCTGCTTGTCCTCCTCTCCCAGTTTTTCTGTGATCACCTAAGTTGGGATTTTCCCCAGCATCCCTTGACTGCACTCTGTCTGTGTCACGTATGTGGCACTTATGACGCTGCAGAATTTATCCAGCGTACATGCAAGGCTCATCCCCCGACCAGAGTATAGGCTCCATGAGGCCTCTTGGCAGGCCAGCACCTGGCAGAGTGCCTGGCACATGACCAGTCTTTAGTAGATGTACGTGACTTTAAAATGAACTCTTTGAGGAGAGCATGACTTACAAGTCCCTGTGTCATTACTGTTATCAGGATTGTTTCTGGCACAGAGAAGCTATTTCTGCATCATTTAATGAATGAACGAGTAATGAAAGAGTACAGTGACCAAGGTCCCATGCATAACTACAGTCATTCATGCCATTTAAACTCCGGAAACTTAACACACCTTTTAATGCTGAAAACAAAGGAACACCAAGCAAGGTAGAGGAACCTGGGCATTGAAATACTTCCCTAAAAAGTGTAGGAGCACCAATTTTCCAAAACCAGAGGGGCAGTTGGGTTACAGTGGAAAGAAAAGTAATGTGGAAATTGAGAAACTTGGAGTCTAGTCTCAACTTCAGCATTAACTGGCTGTAAATTGGTCATTTTCCTCATTTGCGAAATGAGGGGCGTTAGATTCAGGGTCGGCAAGTTTTTTTCTATAAAGAGACCAGATAATAAGTATTTCGGGCTTTGAGGCCCACATGCGATCTCAGTCACATACTCTTTGTGTTTTACCAACCTTTGAAAGGCTAAAAAGCATGTGAGCCGCAGGATGGACCTGGCCTCAGGGTTATAGTGTGCCGACCCCTGGATCGTTGGGTGCTCGGTTCTGACCGCACCTCTCTGCGGTTCTGAGAAACAGAAGGGCCGCGCCAAACCCTGGAGCCCAGCTCCGCAGCACCGTGACACCCGGTTTTCCCAGCCTCTTAAAGAGACCTCCCTGAGTATATACTGAAGAGGAGAGCATTAATTCTACCATTTACAGGGAGCCTTTTCTCCCTGGATCGTGTCCAAGAGTAGCTTGTTTCACTCAGGGAAATCGAGTCGAAAAATCAAACTGGTCAGCCATCCCGAGTTCCAGGCCAGTTCCGGGAACTGTCCTCTCTCGTGGTCACACTCAGGTTTCACTGTAGGATCTGAGTCTGAGTTGTGGTGTGGCAGATGCACGTAGACACGAAGCTGGTGGGGCCCTCACGACCCTGATCTACTGCGGCATGTGAGGGGAGGGGTCGCTTCCACCAGTCTGCGGGGGTGTGCGCCGCTCACATTCTTGGAGGGCTTTCTCTTTTAAGGTTTCTGTTTTCTGGAATTCTTTCATGATTAATGTTTAAACTAGTGTTGGTGTTTTCAGATATTTGACTTACGTGGATACTTTCACACTGGAAATCCCCTCAGAAGTTTCCCGCTTTGCTGAGCTTTACTCTATTGTTTAATACAGTAGTAGTGGGCCAAACCTTTGTACTGTCATCTTATGGGACTCATGTCTAGAAACCAGCCCACCCAGACACAAAGAGATCTGTATGTTTGCTGCAAAGCGCCCCCAAGTCAGAAAATGGACAGAGAGTTTTAAAAATAAAGTTAATTTAGACTTGAGCTGCTAGTATATAGATGACCTGATCTATATGCAAATAGTCTCTGTGTGGTTCTTAATCATTTAATAGGCTTGAAATAGGCTCTGGGAAATTCTTGGAAAAGGAAATCCAAAATACGGAGCACTATTACTCATTTTATTCAATGCAAAGCTTCCTAGCATGTATTTACTGATCAATCCTGCCTCCTTCTAGAATAGCCCCGAATCTTTTAAAATCTGCACTGCGCTGAGGGAAGAAGCTCTAATCAGAGGAGAAGTCCTCTCCAGGAGAGCGTCCTGTTTTGCTGTGGCTCTCGCTCTGAACCAGGTGAGGCCTGGGGTGCACGGTGAGCTGGGACCCAGCTGGGCGTCACCACTTTCATTTGTTGCTTTTATTTGCGTATTGTTCTCTTCCAACTGTATCATAAAGAAAATGTCTCCACAGAGAGACCGATGCCTTTGGTGCCATGGCAACCTGCATCTGTTCCTCTGCCTCCAAAGAATATTTCCACTTAACATTTACGAGCATAACATGCATTGAGTTTGTTTAGAAGGGGCTGGCTGAGAGCCTGTAGAGAATCAGTGAGGGAAGCTGTCCTCTGAGAGAAGTTTCTCAAAGTAATTAAAATGAAATTTTCATGTGATTTGCTTCCTGTGTCATGTTCTCAGAACAGTTTAATTTAATGCTCTCCAAAGCTGAACTCACCACAGATGACTGAGGACTCTCGCAATGAGCCCATTGTAGAAATGGGGTTCATCACAGTTCACAGATAGACCCCAATGCTCTCATTTGGAAGAGACTTTAGTGATCTTTCAGCCTCCCCCTCACTGGGCATGTGGAAGCAGCTGAGGTCCAGAGAGAAGAGAAGACCTCCCCCTGCACATCTCAGTGAAGGACCGTCAAAGCTGGAACCCTGTAGCACCCCCTCTCTGGAAGAGCCCCTCCCAGGATACCCTAAGAAAATGTGTAATACTTTATGAATATACATAGGCTTTATTTCTCCCTGGCCATTGGGAATAGGCATGGGATTGGTTTTCATTTTTAAAAAAATCTCTGTGCCGCTGCCATAGTGACACATTGCTTCCTGCAAATATGGCTTATCTGTGTAAATCCTTGATTAACTCCGCCTCAGTCGCCAAAAGGATCCGGAGAACTTCCCATTACTAGCTCTAAACTCTGTTACATCACTGTAGACAGGAGTTTACATTTTGCACTTCAGGTGGTGCCCCTCGCCTGGGAGAACTACTTTGTGGGCTCTTGCTGAGACGGGCAGCGTGTCCTCCTCTTGCGGCCTTTCCCAGGACTGGCCTGCGCTCCGGCTGCGGCCTTTCTCCCTCTTCCGTGGTTGAGGTTGCTGCTGTCTGCTAATTGTGTCAAAGGTGTTTGGTTCTTTCCTTTCCCTTCCCTTCCCTTTCCCTCTCTCTTTCTCTTTCTGTCTCTCTCTTTTCTTTCCCTCCCTCTCTCCCTTCCCTCCCTCCTTTTCCTCATTCCAGTAGGAGAAGGGGAGATGTCAACTTTCTGCTTCCCTCTGGAAAACTGGAACTCAGGCAACGTGTGAAAACATTTAGTGATGTGACACTATGGGACACATTTTATAGAATATTTGTTCTTGATTACCAAAATACTTTTTGTCTCTGTGTACCTCAAAACCCCAGTGCACCACAGACTCGAATACCCTGACATGTGTAAGTGGTCTTCCTGTTAGCAGAGTGGTGTTCATATGACGTAGGGTATGACTTGTTTTTCTTCTTTCCAGAACCAGGTGGGAAAAGCTGCATCCATTTTTTCTCAAATCATGAAGCCAGAAAACATAACCTGCACTAATTTAAATGTAAGTGACTTCCTTGTGGTTTAAACAAAGGCTTGAAATGTACTAAAGTCATGCCCAGAGTTTTTTTGTCTGCACAATGACTTTTGATCTCCCTGGAACTTCATTCAATTTATTCATTCATAGAGCTCTGTGTGAAAGTTACAGTGTAGCCGCCTGAGAGGAGTCAACACAGCCTGTACTTTCAGCAGTTTATAAACAGGTGAGACATGTAGATGTGCTCAACTGTGAGAGGCGAATAAATGCTGTGGGTATTTATGACTACAGAAGGTGGTAGCTGTAAAGAGAAGGGAGGTAGGTCCTCCAGCCTGTTCATTAAGATTCATGAGAAACCTATGTGCTGATTGCATTTTATTTCATGCTACTTAACTCATGGAGTCAGTATTATCTGTGGTGCATAATATAGTGCCTGATGCAGTAAGTGCTTGCTCAGTAAATGTTAGCTATTTCCATTCTTATACTGCCCCAGACAGCAGAGTTACCTACCCCTTCCTGTCCCAGGACTGGGCACCTAGGCAGAAACTGTAGTTAGAGTGTGTGGGCCAGCCTGAAAAGCTCATAGGCTCAAGCAGATCTGGGAGGCCAAGGTGGCAAAGGTCCCAAGTTCAGGAGTTCAGGTCATTTGAGCCAGCAGTACCAGCAAGCCAAGCAGACTGGGAGGCCTCATCTTCCAGCAGCTGCCATATATTTGGTAACTTCTGTGCTCCCTACTGGATATGGAAGCTCTGGGGATCCCAAGTGTGCCTTTGCTTCTGAGAGAGAGTGGTCTGCAGATGCACTCATCTTGACTGGACAGAAGTAGAACTGCTAGGATTCCATGTGGCCCAGAGCATCATAGGAAAGAAATACAGGTGAGTGGTGAGAATGGTTTTACATGGACTATAAGAGGCTTTTCCTAGAGTTGAAGTGCAGTTGTGGGGATCAGTCCATAAGGATTGGTGGTGAGACACTGAAGGGAGTGAGACTGGCAGATTTTAATATAGTTTAGCTATGGTACCATCTAAATACTTTGTATTTGTTGGTTCACTTTATACAACGCTGTCAGGACAGTATGCCTCCATATCGTAGATGTAAAGTGAACATTCAGAGAGTAAGTAAATTACCCGAGTTCATCAAATGGCCAACTGGTTTTTATACAAACAAATCTGTTTGACTATAAAGCCCAGAGTTTCCTCATCACTCCAGACCTGTAGGGATAAGGGCTGTGTCTCTTCCCCAGGACAGGGACTAGCTGTTCCTCCTGAACAATGAAAAGGACGCAGGACTGCATGTGAAAAATTGACTCCCTACAGTGCACAGATTCCATGCCCGTGAATTTAGATCCTTCGTCTCTTTCAGTCCTTGGCTTTAACAGTTGTTATGGTCCTTCCCGCCAAGATGGAGGCGTAGGCGGAAACACTGCACCTCCTCGCACAACCAAGTTTAAAGATAACAAAGTTTTAGTAATGAAAATGCAACCAAAACACGGAAAATTGAACTGTATGGAAGTCTGACAACAACTAACCATTCATCTAGACCAGTAAGGGGTGGAGTCAGCGGCAGAGCGGGTCGGGCAGGAAAGATCAGCCTGACTGACTCAGGAGTGCAGGAGCACAGGCTGCGGTTAGCAGATCCCAGGCGTGGGGTGGCAACAGGCGGACCCAGTGAGGGTGCAAGGCAGCTGGCTGGCCACGGTCACACATTCCTGCGCAGATAAACCAAGCGAAGGAGTGAGCAGTGAGACAGACAACTCAGGCCAGGGCCTCAGCCATGGGAATTAGAGCCTGAAAGCACCAATTGGAAAGACTTTTGGGGTCGAGGTGCTAGGAGAAGCTCCCAGGCTCACAGAGTTTGTTGGAGAGACCCACAGGGTCCTGGAGGGTGCACAAGCCCACACACCCGGGAACCAGCACCAGAAGGGCCCAATTTGCTTGTGGGAAGCAGCAGAGGGGACAGAAATCTGAGAGACAGCGTGGAACAAACACCATTGCCCCTCTCTGACCTGGCCCCCATTTACAGTGTCACAACCCAGCTACTGGGTCACCCCACCCTGGTGAATACCTAAGGCTCTGCCCCTCATATATAATAGGTGCGACCTGACCAAAACATTATGGCTCAAGCAGAAAAAGAGCTCAAAGCCCCAGAGCCAATAAATCTAAGCAACCAAGAGATAGCCAACCTTTCAGATGCACAGTTCAAAACACTGGTGATCAGGATGCTCACAGAACTGGTTGACTTTAGTCACAAATTAGAGGAACATATGAAGGCTAAACTAATTGAAATGAAGGGAAATTCACAGGAAACCAATAGTGATGGAAAGGAAACTGGGACTCAAATCAAAGGAGTGGACCAGAAGGAAGAAAAAAATGACCAAACAGAAAACAATGAAGAAACAAGAATTCAAAAAAATGAGGAGAGGCTTAGGTACCTCCAGGACATCTTTAAACGCTCCAACATCCGAATTATAGGGGTACCAGAAGGGGAAGAGGAACAGCCACCAGTGGGAAACTTATTTGAACAAATAATAAAGGAGAACTTCCCCAATCTGGCAAAGGAAATAAGACTTCCAGGAAATCCAGGAAGCTCAGAGAGTCCCAAAGAAGTTGGACCCAAGAAGGAACACACCAAGGCACATCATCATTACATTAGCCAAGATTAGATTGAAGGAGAGAATCCTAGAAGCAGCAAGAGCTAAGGGGACAGTCACCTACAAAGGAGTTCCCATCAGACTGTCAGCTGATTTCTCAAAAGAGACCTTACAGGCAAGAAGGAGCTGGAAAGAAGTATTCCAAGTCATGAAATCCAAGACCTACATACAAGATTGCTCTATTCAGCAAAGCTTTCATTTAGAATGGAAGGGCAGATAAAGTGCTTCTCAGATAAGATCAAGTTCAAGGAGTTCATCATCACCAAGCCCTTACTATATGAAATGTTAAAGGGACTTCTCTAAGAGAAAGAAGATAAAAAAGATGAACAGTGAAAGGACAGCAAACTCACAGTTATTAACAACCACACCTAAAACAAAAGCAAACTAAGGACAGCTAGATCAGGAGCAGAACCATAGAAATGAAGATCACATGGAGGGTTAGCAACAGGGGAGTGGGAGAAGGAGAAGGGGGGAGAAGGTACAGAGAATAAGTAGCATAGATGGTAGGTAGAAAATAGGGGGAGGGCAAAAATAGTATGGGAAATACAGAATCTAAAGAACTTGTGACACATGGACATGAAAGGGGGGAATGGTGGGGGAAGGGTGTGCAGGGTGGAGGGGAATGAAGGGGGGAATAGGACAACTGTAATGGCATAATCAATAAAATATATTAAAAAAACAGTTGTTATGAAAATGTTGCAATAATTTTTTTCCGGATGAGAAAATGCTTTGGTGGAAATAAAACATGAACTTCTGAGAGCAGAGCTGCCCTTCACAGCAGGAGGAGAAATCCAGAGCACGGTGAAGCATGCTCCCGGGTCAGGCAGCCGGGCCAGCTCCTTCCCCCTGGGAGCTGGGACGGAGAGGCAGCTGGTAACCGTGGCGGAGTGGGCATGAATCAGGCCCGGACTGCGTCAGGAACCTTGAGCTGATCTCGAGTATGAATCATCCGCTCTGTGAACTGGGCCACAGAATTACCCATTGTCAGGAAAGTTAAAGATAGTTTTATTGTTTAAAAATTCATAACTTAGGAAATTCTTCCCAGTGTCCAATTTAAATGTCTCATATTTCAGCATACGCCAGCTTCTTCTCCCTCAGGAATGATGGAAAAGAGATGGTTGCCATTCTCGGGTTTAATAATCTTTCAGATTCTGGGTCTCTGTTATTAGAACAGGTTTTTAAAAATGTAATGTAATGGGCCCTTGCCTTTGCGAGGCTGAGTCATCTACTTGGAATCCCCAAGGGCAATTTGTTAATTTTTAAGAAATGGAAACCTGACAAGTAGGCTGAGTAGAGAGTCTATTCAGTCAGTATTGCAGGAATAAGTGAAGTTTTTTTCCTGATCTACTTTAAAAATTAATAAATACTTAAAAAAATAAATCTTTTTCTGCTGCGAATTGGAATTTGCACTTACCCAATTATTCCCCCACAATTTTCTCTTCACTGAAATTGCTCCTGCTGCTAACATGACCCAGAGGGCCTGGCTTCCCGTTTTCCAGCTCATACATGTTAGATATTGCACTGAGTTAGCAATGACCTCATCAAAGCACGTGCATGTTGACTCTGCCCTATAGTCTAAATGTAAACCCATCAATCTCCAGACAACTGCGGCCCCCTCTTTAGCAATGCTGTTCAATATTGAAGGATCAATCTCTACCTCCAGACATGTCTGAAAGTATCAGACACCAACTCGGGGTAACTGTCCACTGACTCTATTTTATTTCTAATAATTTCTCTAGAAGTGTGGCAGTCTCCAAATGGAGACTCATTTTGGAATTGAATTACCTTTCAAGGGAGGTGACAAGTGGTTGGTTTTGCTCCTTTTGTCATTTATTTATTGACACAATTGAATGTTTTAATGCCCTTTTCTACTACCTACAAGGTCACCCTGAAGTTCTAGCTCCTGCTGGAAAGTCTCTGAGGCTGCACAAGTCAGAGAGGAGGAAGGACTCATTTCCTATAAACCCCACTGTGGCAGCATCTCCCTGTGTGTATGAGTTAAAAATCTCATTTGAGTCCTGGCTGATGTGGCTCAGTTGGCTGGAGCATCGTCCATAAGCTGGATGGTCATGTGTTCGATTCCCATCAGGGCACAGGCCTAGGTTGCAGGTTTGGTCCCCAGTTGGGGTGCATTGAAGAGGCAGCCGACGATGTTTCTTTCTGACATCGGTGTTTCTCTCCCTTTCTCTCTCCATTTCTTCCCCTCTCTCTAAAAAAATCAATAAGTACATTCTAGAGTGAGAATAAAAAAAGAAAGAAAAGAATTGCATTTGCGTGGGAGCAATGTAGACTCCAAAAATGCAAGGGTCTGTATGAATTAGAGGCTTTCTTTTTCTCTCATGTAGAAAACCAGTGGCGGTCAGTCCAGGTCTGGTGTGGCATTCCATGATACCTTCAAGGACCCAGCTTCTGTCTGTATTTCCACACCAGCATCCTAAGCACATGACTTTCATCTATTGATTGTATTGCTATTCCAGCAGGAAAGGGGAAGAACAGAGAGGGCAAAGTACTTAGCACCTTACAAAAATTTTTTTATTTACTGATTGGAGAGAGAGAGAAATAATAATTTGTTGTTCCACCCGTTTATGCATTCATTCGTTGCTTCTGGTACACGTGCTGACTGGAGATCAAACCCACAACCTTGGCACATCGGGATAACACTCCAGCCAACTGAGCTATCTGGCCAGAATTTAGCACCTTTTAAGGATGCTTTCCCAATTGTCTTACATGTTATTAGCCAGAACTTAATCCCCTAGCCTCGCCTGTTTGCAGAGGAACCCGAGAAACAGCCTTCGAGTTCTACACTTGATAGCATAAGTTAAAATTCGGGAATCCTGTTGTCAAAGAAGGAAGGGGAGAATGGCTGTCATTTAGAAAACTAGCAGTCTCTCCACACTGTGATATTCTGTTTCAAATATGCAACAACTTTAAAAGAAAATAAGAGCCAAAAATGCAACTTTCCAGCATGTTTAGGGGTTCTTTTTTGTTCAGAGGTATCCGATGATTTGTCAGCACTTCCTGAGGCCTCAAAAAATCAGAGGGATAGGAAGTATGTGTTCTATTAATAGTTTTTCTTACCAAAAATTCCCCCTGCTCCTTGCTAATTTAATTTTCCTTGCCTTTTGTTTGAAAGCTGTGAGATTAAAGCAATGTGCTGTACCCTAATTTAGCTTTTCTTAATTGCACCCTGAGACATCAGTTTGAAACAAGCTCCTAGCTTTAAATTTTCTCTTTGCCTTTCATCAGTATCCGCCTCATCTATATTGCTCCTCATCAGTATATTCATAAGGTATTGACCTTACTCTTGAAATCTCTACTGAATCAGAGATAGTTGCTGGAGGCAAGGAGAGAAGTTGAGGAAACTTAGGAAGAAAAGCTGAAATCTTCCAGGAGCACATCATCAATAGTTTTTAACATGGAGCTCCAGGAGGTTTATCCTTGAAAATTGCTGCGCTCCCCTCTCTTTCATCATTGGTGAAGGTCTGCTAGGTGGCAGCCACTGGGGATGTTGCATTTAACAAAAGTAGACTTGTCCTCAACCTCAGTAGGACAGTCCACTGCCATCCAAATTTGTTAAGGATGTTAAGAACTGTTTAGAGATTTTACCCTGCTTCCAGACTAACGCATTTCTTGGATACTGGTAGAGATACAAGACATCAAGGAGTGAAGGAGAGTTTATTACTCACAGCAGTAGCAGTAGCCAGAATATTAGCAGTTTTGCACTAGTTCCCTGAGATTCCCATAGGATGATGTGAAGAGATCTATATGCCTCCTGAGTGCACAGGGGCTTACATTTGAAGGTGAATTGGGGGAACCCAAATCTCTTGTAAAGGGCAGTAAGCTCTCCCGCCCTTTGCTCTGGATGAGGCACTGAGTCTCACTTCCCAAGCTGTTGGTTATCCAGACACCCTTGAGAAGATTGGAGGAAAGGCTGTCAGCACTTCTGCTCAAACGGGGGAGACCATGGAGGGGCCTCCCAGCAGTGGGTGTGCCCGTGACTTGGCCTGCGCGTTAGAATACTGAACGTCGGTGGGGCCTTGGGATTCTGTCTGCTTGGGGTCGCTGCACTCTGCTCTGCAGGCCAGAGAGAGCCTTGCATCCTAATCGACTGCTCAACAGACATAGAATGTTTGAAATGGACTGGTGAGAGAACTCAGCTGGTTTGGTATATAAAAGAAATATCTCTTCCAAAAAACTTCCTTTTGTAAGCATCAAGAGCCTTAAAATGTTCATACCCTTTGACTTTGTTATTTTACTTCTGGGAATTAAGTCTAAGAAATTAAATTTATTTTTTTTAAATGTGTGCACATTTATCAATATGGTAAAAGATGCTATTAATTTATTTGATGCAGTATTTTATTTATATGATGGATTGCTATGCATTCAACATTAGAAAAGAGACTTTTCTTTTTTCTAAAATTTCTTTTTAATGCTATAAGAAAATGTTCATTGTATAATAATTGACAAAAAGAATCAAACTTTGGGGAAAATTAATATATTTGGAAGATACTGTATGAAATTGTAAACAATGATTAACATTAGTAAATTCTGAGTTATTCTTATTTAAACTTTTCTGTATTTTTTGAATTGTATTAGTGCACATTGGTGATGAGGGGAAAAATGTATTCTTTTTTCCTTGTGTTGTTCAGTCTGATGGGAGGTGGTTAGTAATCATTTTGAGTGCTAAGTACAGTTCCCAGTTTTGAAAGTTCCTTAACAGCAACGGTCTAAATAGAAGTGCCTCACTAAGACTTCAACCAGCTCCCACAGGTACCTTCAACAGCCTATGAGCCTGGAACTTCTTAACCAAAATACTAATAAATAAAAAAGGTAAAGGTGTATTTACCCTAGAGCCCATTTTATGAGATCATCTGATTGTGATAGCCTCTGAATCTAGAGGCAATAAGGAGGAAGAATCTGTAGTGTTTACTGAGCACCTCCCGTATTTTATTTAATTTTCACAATAATTCAAAATATGAGATGTAAAGCTATTTTCATCACTTTAAAAATTAAAAAAAAAAGTTGTAAGAGTACCAGCCAGAGTCGCGTAGCTAATAATAATTGCCAGCGCTGGAAATCCAGCCCAAAGTCCCGTTCTGTTCTTACACCAGCTCCGCAGTAGCAGCATTCTGACTTGCCATTGGAAGACAAACGTTGGTTGGCAAGCATGCGTTTGAAGCATGTTTTTGAACTTGTGCAAGCAAACAAATTAGGATGTAGCATGAAAATGGGGTAGGTGCCTGCACATCTTCTGGTGCACTTCTCAGTTGAAAGCTGGCTCAGGCTCATTTTTGCTGTGTCTTATTTCTATTCAGCTTATGATCTACATCCAGTCGGATATGTTGGAAACCGTGATAGAGATACTAAAGGATACTGCAGAGGGAAACTTATCAATATTTGTGAAAAGACTTAAATTTTCAGAAGAAGTGGTAAGTGTGTGGCAGCTGCAGAAATCATTTAAAGGGGAAGGGCACTCTTTGAAAAGTCCACCTCCTTAGAGAGATGGTCGAATTTGCAAACTCTCGCTGTTCCTCTCGTAAGCTTTCTCTGTGTGGGTGCAAAGATTTTTTTCCTTCAGACACAAAATATACTCCAAAATGCTAGCAAAGCTTCTTCCCTTTGTTAGTCTTTTCCCCGGACTGTTTTTGTGGGTCCCAGCTCTCTCTTTCTTTTTCCTTTCTCCTCAAGCCTCCAGTGCCTTCTCCCCGCTCTTCACTCTCAGTCAGTGATCTTGCTTGTGTGTCCTGCAGGGACCGGAAGCAGTCAGAGAGAAGCGAGGCCCCTCCACAGCCTTCTGGCTGCTCCCTGCCTGCCCAGCCCTGCTCCCAGCTGTGTCCTGGAGCGAGTCCCCTCTGACCCACTCCAGGGCCTTGGTCCAGAAGGTGTCTCCCCCTCTTGTGAGCAAATTAGCATTCCTTTCCCTTGGATCATTCCCATCAGCAAACAATAAATAGGCTGCAGTATCTCTGGTCTTAAAAAAAAACTCCCCTATTTAAACAAATGAAAAACCAACACTCCGGTTATGAAACCATACTAAAGCTTCTGTCATTAGACTTGTTGTTTTAGCTCCTGAATAAAGCAGCTAATGGAACTGTATAAATGTTTTGCAAAATTCTAAAACAAATTTAAGTAAAAACGAGGAGAAAGAAAAATTGAAAGCAAAATGAAACAAATGAACCCATGTGTCACCTGGGTGGTTTAAGCACACAAAGAGGAATTATTATAAATTATTTGAAATTTCATAATTTGTACATTGCTAGTAGTATAGAGCCTAAGGGAAAAAAGAAGTGTAAGGATATTGTTAGTAATGAAACTGGTGCTGTCGTTTCGACCACAAAGCGGCCTGTTGGGTGGTCCTCCCCCCTGCTCTTCTCCCTCCTTCCCTTGCCTGTGTAGTGGTGGTCTCACCTGGTGTCCGAGACGGCTGGACTGCAGCAGAGGGCAGGTGGCTGGCCTCCCCTCTGCCACCCTGTTACCTCCCAGGTCTATTCCATTTCCTCCCTTGCACCCAAAGGCTTCTTCCTGCTGTTAAAGGGAACAGAACACTGACTGGATCTGACTCCATTTAAAGCTTCCCTGTGTTTGAGGTCTTAGTTCTGTGTAGGTTGTGACTCACTGAGATCCTTTTGGAATATGATAGAAAAGCAGTGGTCCTGGAAATGCAAACAGGTTTTCAAGTGCACAGTCGTGTGCATGCATGTGCAGTACAGACACACATTAACCACTCATCCCTTGGATCTGGTCTGTTGATATGTTTCCCAACTTTATGACTGAAGAATCTATCATCCAGACAAACTGCACACTGAAAAATGCTGATTGTTTTTATCTGAAATGCACCCCCAAAGCTGTCAGACTGACCAACATAGGAGGCTCACCCTTCAGCTCGCCCCCCTGGTTGTGAGACACCCAGGGAGCCACGTACTGTGAAATGAAGCAATCCTATAAAGTAGCTTTTGAGCTCGCTCTGAGTATGTCTGTGAGCCCGCATGTGGAGTCTTGCATTGTAAAGCTCTGCATTTCACAACTGCTGTATTTAGCGTGGGTACCAGCAGTTATTAACCGTGTCTCACGTGCGGAGATAAGGTGGTTTGCCGCTGGAGGAATGGGGAGAATTGTTTATTTTCTGCAGTGCTAGGGCTGAAACCACTCAAACGGCTGTTTATTCACTGCCTCCTTTCTTAAAAGTAAATTAACAAACTATGCGGTATGATCTCTCTTCTGCTGAAATCGTTGCATGGTCCTGATGATTCCAGGTAGTGTTTTGCAGTGGGGTGAGGGGCTGGTGTCGTACACCGGGTGGAGCAGCATTATCGACACCTCCAGCTCCGCACACCTGCTTCGCTTCTTTCGGAGGTCACTGTGCCTCGAACGTGAGGACTAAACAAGCTGCTCTTCTTAAGAACATTAGGAGGTGCCTAAACTTTTAATTGACGGCTCACTGGGGAGCCTGTGTTTGAACGGAAGGTGTGCAGGTAACTAGCAGGATTATGAGGTATTAAACGGTGACCAAAGGATATATGTTGGGGACTTTGATTACAATTAAATCTCATTGAGAAACATTGTTAGGTCCTATTGTTAATAAGGATCGAACTATGCAGAGTGTTGATTTTGTTCAGAGAGTAGCTTCATGTTCTAATTTAGAGCTCACCCACTTTTGTAGAATTAATGCCATTCATATTCTTGTGACTCTTGTGATATTTATACCTCTGGTCTAGTCCTGTCCTCCATGTTTCATTCTTATAATATGCAACAGCCTCTTGGCACATCCGCTTCCCTGTTTCCCAGGCACCCGAATCATATTCGTAACAGGACTCTTGGTGTTCCCTCTCCTCCTCCCCATCTCGGTTCATGACATCACCCTTCACCAAGTTACAAAGCCCAAGTTGGGAAGATGTCTTTGATGCTTCCCTTTTCCTTCACCCCTTCAACCCATCATCCACCCGTCGTAGCCACCCATCATCCATCCTCTCACTGGGGCTGCGGTGGGACCTCCGGGGCAGACTCCACATTCTCGTACCCACCACATCTCCACACAGCTCTGTAAACCGAGAGCAGATCGTGCCCCAGTTTGGACCCTCTGATGGCTTTTAGGGTAAATTCCAAAAGAACGTACCATGCCTAACACCAAAGCTGGCATTCAAGGGATGATTGCAGTAGAGGGAAGAGGAAACCTGGCCAGAGAAGAGGATATGAAGGAGACGCAGGTGGCCGGTGGAGCTGCGTAGACTGGAGCACAGAGTCCCTCATACTTATTTTCTGCCATTACCGAAAGCTAATGGCCGACAGGATGCTAATTAAAAGGGACAGGGCCTCACCCATCATTATGAGAATCTGCACATCCAGACTGACGATGCATTTGTTCTCACCTCAAATACACCCTGAAAAATGCCAGAATAGAAAGTGTTCCTAACCTAAAACAAAACATTTTTTTAAAAAGATTTCCAATCTCCGAAAACAAACCAACTTCACATGCACTATAAAGCCCTACATAATTTGGCCCTGCCTCTTGCTCTGGTCGCTAAGTTGGACAAACTTGGTCTGTTGCTGTTTGAGCCCCTCTTCCCGGCATGTCTCGTTACCCAGTGTGTGCCACTTACACCCCTTCTGTAAGATATGAGGCCCTGGCCAGTGCGACTCAGTTTGCAGCGTCATCCCGCAGCCGCAGGTTCGCCACTTCAATCCCTGGTCAGGGCACATGTGGGAGGCAGCCTGTCAGTGTTTCTCTCTCTCTCCGTTCTTCTCTCCCTTTCTCTCTAAAAGCAATGAAAAAATGTCCTTGGGTGAGCATTAAAAAAAAGATAGACAAGATCTTCAAGGACTAATTCTGAATTTTGTGTGTAGCTTGTGGGATCCTTATTGCTGGTCATACCTCCATGTGCTCCAGTACCCTGGCTTTTACCACAGTAGGTATACACTACACTGCATTTCTACTCATGTATGTCCCTGCATCCTGGAGGGTAAAAGAACAAGGAAAAAACCGTGCATAGGTATAATGACTGGCTTTTCTTCTATTTTCCAGCTGGCCAAAGTAAGGGGAAAAGTGAAGGATGTGCCGGCCCTTCTGGCCAGATTTGACGAGCTCTATGGGAAACTGCACATAAATGGCCAGGTCACCACTTACAGTTTGGATGCTCTGCTTTGCCACACCCCCAAGGACCTGAAGTCCCACGTAGTTCTGTCCAGCAAGAGAGTAGCCAGCCGTCGGACCTTCCAGCCGCTCAGCCAGTCCCTGTGGGCTGAGTAACCCCGGGTCCAAACCCCTGGGGGGTGGGTCTGAGTTGGACGGGGCCTGTGTCCAGTGACTTATGGCGGCGTCCTAAGAAGCCTGGCACCGAACTCCAGTGGACACTGTACTACCACTTGGTCTCCTCCTAATCTCCGTGTTCAGTGAGTGCCGGCAGGCTGACCTGAGAGGTTAACGCATTGTGCCACTTTGAAGGTCTAGGCAGAGGCAAGCAGAAAGCTCCGCTCCCTCAGAAAGGAGGCTGGCGCCGGTAAACTGTGGAGGGTCCTCGAAGGAACATGGTCACAGTGTCCGGCTGCTGGTACCAGAGTTCCCAGTAAGCCGTGGTGGAGGGAACTGCACTGTAAGTGGTCAGCCCCGACCCCCTTTCAGGGGAGCGGCTGCTCACCGACTTCAGATGGTCCGAGTGCCCCCGCTGCAGTGCTGGGGCATAGCCCGGGATCCTCCCTGTTTCTGTCCTCACTCACCGCGAGCCCTCCTTTTCCCACCCGTGTGATAGTGGTGCCTGTGTGAATCTGCATGTGGATTTGAAATTTTCATCAAGGGCCACATTTCCTCAAAAAATAAGAAAAATAAAAAAGTTTCCCCAAACTTCTTGGGATTGTATTTTGTTTTCTCAGCAGCACAAACAAAACCAGAATTTAGCTCTCAGAACTGGCAAGTGAGCCAGCATTTAAATGATTACTGCTCTGGTCGTGGGCAAACCCTGTGCTTTTCAAAATAAAAGTGCCAGTGAAAACCACATAATGTTCTCTGCATTGCTGAGTTGTCTGTGTGGGCCATAAATTTTTGTTTGTTAATGGGTTTTCTTTTTCCTCTCTTTGGATGTTTTATTTTCTGGTAAAAACGAATGTGCGATGACGGCAGGTCAGAGCTTTCTCGCACTGATCCATTTCTCACGGTTCGAGGTGCAGCCCCGGGAGGGCTGTGCCCTGTGTTTCTGAAGGCCCCAGGTGGCGCTCCAGCCCCTCGGCCCCTCCCTGGCGTGCTGCAGACCCTTCAGTGCCAACTGGAACTTTATCGTTACTTTGAGGCAAGAATTGTTCATAGAATCAGAAATTTTATCGGAGGAGGAATCTTCTGAGTCTCCTAATTGAACTCCCTCATCTTTCAAGTTGAGGAAATGGCTTGTTCAAATTGGGGTAGTTTGAGGAGGAGCTGAAATTCAAATCTGGACTTCTAGTCTTGTGCCCTTCCCATTATCTGCATTTTGTCTCTGCAGCAAAGGAAAGGGAGAAGCTCTTCAGAGGCAAAGCATTAAGGGCTTTCCCAACCTGCTGTGTGGCATGGGCTCACCTGGGTTCCATCACTTGTTAAATGGGGGATGGTAATAGCACCCACCTCCTCAGCTTGGCATGAGGATGGAATGAGTTCAACCAGGACAGCGCTTGGTGCAGAGTAAGTGCTGTGTCAGTGTTAACTATTGCTGTCACTGTCGGTAGCATTTGGAATGTTTGCACCTTGTTGAGGAATTACATAAGCAAATGAGTTCTTCTTCCTGCTCAGAAATATCAACAGAATTTCTTGGCTTATGCTCTGTGAAACATTAGTCTCCCCCTTTAAAGAAAATTCTGTGCCTTCACAGACTCTTAATTGCATTTTGTGTGTCTTGTGTTTTGGAAGAAAAAAAAAGATCTCTCCACCTTCAAAGTCTTAGGGAATAACAGGGCAGGCTTCCTGTCCCCCGCGTGTCCTTTCTCTCCCTGGTGTGCACAAAGAGCGCTCAGCAACGCTGTCACGCCCTGGGTGGATGGGCCCCGGTTGTTAGAGCTAGCAACTGTTCATTAGCAACAGACAAAAGAGTTTTGGGAATGAGAAATAGCAGCAGCGCCAGACTCGAGTCCTGCTGCCCTGAGCCGTGGGCACCCAGTGCTCTGCCGACTGTAAGCTGGGCTGCGTGGCCTGCGCCAGCCGTCCTGCTGAGGGGCAGCCTAGGACAGACGTAACTGACGTGTGTGACATTCACCCAAAAATAATAGACTATTCTGAAGGCTAAAAAAATTGTCAGAGAAGTATGTTCATTATATTAGCATTTTATTCTTTTGTTTCTTTGAAAAGTGGTGTTTCTTTGCATTCGATAATTTGCCTAAAGCATCTATTTACTCTTCAGCACTTTGCCTGCGGCATGTATTGTGCCTACTGTTACTGAGAACATCGTGGACAGGCTATCTCATTCCCCAGCCCTGCGGGCCTCTGTAGGGCGCCTTCACTTGTATATGTCTATTGCTCCAGAATCCGAAAATTGGCCTGGTGAGTACAGCACTGTATGAAAAAAAGACAAACACGTATCTCTTTAATTAGGTGATATCAGGACAGGCAGGGGCCTGGTTATCTGTTGCTGGGTCAGAAACACTCCAGAATTTGGTGGCTTGACACCACCCCAGTCGTTTTATTATTTCCTGTTCTCTGCAGAGTTGACTGGGCTCAGCCAGGGAGTCCTTACGCAGGGTCTCCTGTGGGTGCGGTCAGGTGGTGCCTGGGACTGCTGGCGCCTGAGGCTTCCTCACCTGCATTCCTGGAATTGATGGCAGGGCCTCAGCGAGGCTGCAGCCGTGTCTACCGGCCAAGACACAGGCATGTAAACTAAGGTGCCAGAGGGCAAAACAGTACGGGCCTTGACAAAAGTAACCCAAGATTCAAATTTATAACACTTCTGTCTACAGATTTGGGAAAATGAAACTCAGCACAAAAATATCCATTTAAAAAATGACGGCGGCAGAAGCTATGATTAGTCAAATTTAATAGGCATTATGCATTAAAAATACACGCTGAAACAAATCCTTGGGAACTGATTTCAGTGGAGAGGTTTCAGAAAAGTAAAACATTTTTCTAAGGAAGTGATTTGAACATCTTGCCTAAAAAATGGATCAAGGAACAAAGTTGACTTTAATGGCATTACTTTAAAAAATATCAAAGGAACAAGAATTAATATTAGTGTAATTCTAATGGACATATTTTTAATTTGCTAATATGGAGTCAAAACAAGGGTATTAAAAAATGCTCAGTTTTTTTGGAGCCTGCATTGTGCAGGAGGAGCAGAGATTAAATAGCTGTGCCAACACCCACACGATCATAATGGGATAAATAATAAATAGTAAGTCCTGAGAGATTCACCACCCCATGGCAAAGATAGTGTGTGGCGTGCACGTGCATGCTCACACTCACAGTTAGAGGGGGACCTTTCCTGGTCTCAGAGCAGCAACCGTGCACGTCAGTGACTTTGACTTGCACAGTACGGTGCCTTGTGCTGGTCCAGAAGTTTTCCCCCCATTTACATAGTTTCTCCGGAAGGCCGAAGTAGTCTACTTTAGCTTTGCCTGACCCCAGAATGCCTGTGTAGCATATTATACATATAATGGGGCTTTCATATTTGTTGTAAGAGTGAATTAATTAATGGCAGATTAGCTAATATGTGTAGTATGCCATGATATGCTTTTAAGTACTTCGCAAGGGTTTCATAAATTGGTCATTCTTTTCATACCAGTCTTAAGGATGCCAGAGTCAAGTTCCAGAGAAGTGGAATGCCTGAGAAGGAGGCCCACGACCCCTCTCTCCCAGCGGTTCCCCCCTCGCCCCCATTATCTCTAATCATTCGGTCAGTCCGAGTCAGAAGTGATTTGGGGAGGAAGCAGTGTAGTAGAGGACAGCACCAGGGTTCCAGGCGGAACTTCCAAGCTGTTAATGAAAGATCAAAACACTGCTGCACTGCACACCCCACCCATCTGCCAGCTTTGCTCAGTCGACCCTTCTTCTGAGAACTGTAACCTCCAAGGGCTTCAGAAGCAACATTGTCACAGTGATTAAAGGTGGAGTTGGGGAGAGAAGACCCAGAGGGAAATAAAGAACCCCAAGCTTGGCTGCCGGTCACTGCCACGCAACTGAAACACCCCCAGGCCAGCGGCGTGGGGAGAGGAGGCCTCCTGTCATCAGCTCTTCCGTCAGCTGTGGGAGGGTGATGCTTCCCAGGAGTCCCTGCAGCCTGCCTGGGAAATGTGCTGCAGGGTCATCTCCTTGACTCCTTTCTCCAAAGGGGCCTCTGAACAAAACCGGTTAACACATGCATGTATACATACATACACACATGCATACACACATGCATACATATGTATGCATGCTGTACACCCATGCACACATGCATAAATGTGTGTATATGTTTAATTCCTGGTTGGCTGTATGCTTTGCTCTGTCCCTAGCATATAAGCTGAAGAACTTAGAGTACCCAGCAGAGGGCGCCCAGAGTCACTATTTTTTAAAGGTGCTACTTTTCAGAAGCACCTTCCATTTCGGGAACTGAGAGAGAACAGAGGTCCACAGGAAAGGTAGCTATAGATAGACTTCAGGGAATACGCAGAATATTTCCTTCACTCAGATTAAAAATTATCCAGTTTCAAAAGGATGCTTTTGGAAGAGCGAGAAACCAGTGAGGATGATCCTCTGCAGATACTAACCGCTATCAGTGCATGTGCATAGCTAGGTGGGTGTTTCATGAGAAAACATCCAACTCGGGTCCCTGTGAAAGAAAAAGGATGGTCCTCAGTCTCACCTGGGGAAGAGTTTCCTCCTACAGTAAGAAGAAATCCCAGAATTGCTTGCCCTCATGTCCAAAAATCACATTAATATGTGGGAGAAGTGAACAGGACTCAGGCTGCTCATGTTTCTGTCGTCTTCCTACCCTACTCAACCCCATCAGCTGACAGCAGCCTCTCTGTGCCTGCCGTCCCCGGGAAGATGCTCAGGCTTGGGACTGTCTTACACGAGGGGGACTCCAGTGTCCTGTGTCCCTGCCCATTTCTAGGAATAGGTCAATGATCAAGTTCCTACTGTCATAAACCTTTAATATCCTTTGAGGCTTCACAGAGTCCTAATTATTATCATGGGTTCGGGCTGGGATTCTGGTGAAAGGTGTCTCATGGTGACCTGAGCCCTGAGGACAATGGCAGACGCCCTTGTTCAAGACAATGTGTCCAGAGAATTCAGTAGGTAACTCTTGGGAATACCAGAAACACCAGGAGGAGGTTCTGTGTGACTGGACATCCCACCACAACTGCTGGGGGTAGAAGAAACAAACTGTTAACTACTCTAAATGTGGCCCAAATCTGTCTTGGGCACAGCAGCTCAGGGAGAAAGATACTAAACAAAAAAGCTCTGGGGAATAATCCTATAGTAGATGGGATTCTCCTCATACTTTCTTCAGTTTATCTCACTTATAAAAAAAACAAAAATAAACAAAAAAGCAAACACCTGCTGGTGGCCACTTGGTCAAATTCCTGTAGGATTCCTCCAGGAGTCTGGAGTCAGGGCCCCAGAGCTGAGTCTGTCCCCATTAAGCTGTTGGATAGAGGCGGAGGGGTCGTGTGGAGGTGGGGTCCCGCTGCATTGCCCTGGGGCGGGACGGGTCGAGGGCCCCACCATATCCCCACGTCTGCAATGCAAGTAGAGGAATCAGTGGCACAAGGCTCACTCATCAGGGTCTGTCTCTACGACGTGGAGAAGTGAGCTGTCCATCAGCCAACGAGCCGTACTGAATAGCTGCTCTGGACCCCTCGTCCTGGGCCTTCCATAGCCTCTGTTACTGCCTGAGAGCAAAATATTGAACTCAGTGGACCATGGGACTGGCTGAAAGTATAATAAGTCTTATTCATATGGACTATTTGGTCTTTTTAATTTAAATCTCTCTCTCCTTTTAGTTCCCCATTTCGCTTTGCCAGTGTAGACATGACACAAATTAGTGATGAGTTCCC